ACTAAAATAATGTAAATGAAAAGACTGAAGAACAGCTAAATGCAAATGTGTGAACATAATATTTAGTATAATTAGTCCTAGATTACTACAAAACATTTGTTGATTCTATCAGAATAATTAATAAAATTATATTAGCAGTACCATTTTGGTAATGAATTGAAAGTTTAGACTTTTTAAAATGGGTAATAAAAATAAATATTGAAACACAACTACTCTAAAGGCAAATTTTTAGCATTCCTACCTAGGATCAAATATACTTCTTCTTAAACTGTGGGTCATGACCCACAGTTTATGAAGCGCCAAAGGGGTTGCAAGTAGAAAAAGTTCAAGAAGTTCTGAATTATATCACTTGGCAGTGCACATATTATAAAATAGTGATATAAGATTCTGTAATGTACACAGTAATAACATAATATGCAAAGCACTTTCAATATCAAGTGGAAATAAAACATGTTATAGTCTTATTGGATAATTCTTTTATGCAAATTCCATTCAATAAGCATTTAGAGGGTGCCTACTTTGTGCCAGGCATGATGTTTGGTGCTGAGGATACAAAGACAAAGATGAAAACATACCTGCCCTCAATGAGCTTACATTCTAATGCAAATACTATTAGTTTCATAGCATGGAAGTAGTGTAAACTAGTTTTCAAAGCAATTTCAAACTCATTTGCATTCCATAGCTAGCATAAAAATATACAGATAGAGGAAGAAAACAAGCATTTATTAAGATCCTAGTATGGAACAGGACTTCTGGAAGCCAAGATGGCAGAGTAAGCGGTAAATTACCATAACTCTCCCATAATCAACCTCCAAACAACCACAAAATAGAGCCCCAAAACAAATCCCAGAACAGTAAAATCAGCAAAAAGATGGGGCAAAACAATTTTTTGGCCCAAGAAATGTGGAAGATTAGCAAGAAAGGTCTATCTCATTTGGGTAAAAGGGGAGCGCAGCACAAGACAGGAAGCACCCCAGCAAGTCAGCATCAATCCCCACCCCTGCAAACTAGTGGGAGATCCTGAGCCCCAATGTGGTGGAGCAGGCAAACATCAACACCAGTCCCCCACCCTCAACCTGTCTCAGCATAGCCAGGGGAATGGGCAGACTCCAGCTTTGAGAACTGCCATATGCTTCAGTATATCCTCGAGCAAACAGGCAAGATCCATTGGTCATGTGCTTCAGCATATACCTGGGCAAATAGGTAGATGCTACCCATGCTGGTGCCTAAGCAAACAGGCAGCCCTGTCACATGCTTCAGTGTAGCCCAGGGCAAATAGGCAGCCTCCAGTGGCCAGACCACTAAGTGCTTCAGTGTAGCCTGGAAATGCAGAAACATCCCACCGGCCTCAGAATACAAGTGACACCAGCACTCAGACCCTGGCTCAGCACCAGGTAAGCTGCCAGATTCCTAGAGCCTCCAACAGCACCAGCCACCTTCCCCTACTCCACCCCTACAGCACCAGACACAAGGGTCCCTCATGAGACTCAGGGCAACATCAGTAACAGCACCAGGTAAACAGCCAAGGCCTGCAGCCCCTAGCAAAAGAAGCCTGAGACAGTGACCCTTCCACCCAGGAAGCAAAGCTCAAATTTAAAAGAAAGGATAAAGGCCAAAAAAGATGAGCAAAAACAACAACAACAAAAAGTATCTGACCACAGAAAGTTATTATGGTGTTAGTGAAGATCAAGACACAAACTCAGACGAGGACAACAATGTCAAAGTATCTACGGGCAAAACCCCAAAGAAAAATGGGAAATGGTCTCAGGCCCACAAAGAACTCCTGGAAGAACTCAAGAAGGAGCTTAAAAATCATAGAAGAGAGGTAGAAGTAAAATTGGGAAAATAAATGAAAGTGATGCAAGAGAATTATGAAAAATGAGTCAACAGTTTGGGGAAAAAAAAAAACCAACTGCTTAAAAAGGGGAATTGGCCAAATGGAAAAGGAGATACAAAAATCCACTGAAGAAAACAACTCCTTAAAAATTAGAATTGGGCAAGTGGAAGTTAATGATTCTATGACAAAGCAAGAATGAATCAAATAAATGCAAAAGGATGAAAAAAAGGGAAAATATAAAATACCTCATGGGAAAAACAACTGACCTGGAAAATAGATCCAGGAGAGACAATGTCAGAATCACTGGACTACTTGAAAGCTATAATCAAAAGGAGGACCATAATCAAAAGGACGAGCTGGAGAGCATGTTTCAAGAAATTATCAAGGAGAACTGCCCTATTATCCTGGAACCAGAGGGCAAAATAGGCATTGAAAGAATCCACCTCAGGAAAGAGATCCCAAAATAAAAACTCCAAAGAACATTATAGCCAAATTACAGAACTATCAGGTCAAGGAAAAAATTCCACAAGGGGCCAGAAAAAAACAATTCAAATATTAGGAAAAAACAATCAGGACTACACAGGACTTAGCAGCAGCAACATTAAAAGATCAGAGGTCATGGAACATGATATTCTAGAAGACAAAGAAGATAGGACTACAACCAAGAATCACTTACCCAGCGAAATTAAGCATAATACTTTAAGGGAAAAAATGGTCATTTAATGAAATAGAAGGATTTCAAGCTTTCATAAGGAGAAGACCAGAATTGAACAACAATTTTGATTTCTAATATCAAGACCCAAGAGAGGCCTAAAAAGGTAAAAAGGGAAAAGAAAACATAAGGGATTTAATGAAGCTGAACTGTTTACATTCCTACATGGGAAGATGATACTGGTAATTCTTAAAAATTGTACCACTAATACCATAGCTAGAAGGAATATACATTGACAGAGGGTATAGGCATAAGGTAAATTTGAGGGAATAACAAAAAAAATAATTAAGAGATGAGAAAGAGGAGTATACTGGGTGCAGAAGGAAGGGAAGAGGTAGAATGGGGTAAATTACTCCACATGAAGAGGCGCAAAACACCTATTACAGTTGAAGGAAAGATCGGAGGGTGGGTGACGAGAATCACTTGAACCTTATTCTCATCAGTATTAGCCCAAAGAGGGAATAATATACACAATCAGTTGAACATAGAAATCTATCATCTGACAAGAAAGCAGAAGGGGAGAAAATTATGTAAAGGGAGGGGGAAGACTCGACAGGAGAGTGCAGACAAGGGGAGGCATCAGACAAGCAAAAGGTTGGTGAGGAGGGAAAGGGTGAAAGGAAAGAGAGGACAAACAGGAAGAAAAATAGGATAGAGGGAAACACACAGTTAGTAATTATAACTGTGAATGTGAATGGGACGAATTCTCCCATAAAATGGGAGTGGATAGCAGAGAGGATCAAAAACCAGAATCTGACAATACGTTGTTTATAAGAAACACACTTGAAATAGAGAGACATACACAAAGTAAAGGTAAGGGGACTGGAGCAGAATCTATTATGCGTCAGGTGAAGTAAAAAAAGCAGAGGTAGCAATCCTGATCTCAGACAAAGCAAAAGCAAAAACAGACCTAATTAAAAGAGATAAGGAAGGAAACTACATCTTGCTAAAAGGTATCATAGACAATGAAGTAATATCAATACTAAACATATATGCACTAAGTGGTATAGCATCCAAATTCTTAAAGGAGAAGTTAAGTGAGTTACAGGTTCAGGACCAAACAAGAGAAAAAAGCATTACTGTAATGCGTTTTTTAAACAGTACTTCTCCTTTAAGAATTTGGATGCTACATTAAAAAATGTAAAATAGATAATTTTGATTATATTAAATTAGAAAGATTTTGAATGAACAAAACCAATGCAACCAAGATTAGAAAGAAAGAAGAAAGCTGGGAAATAATCTTTACAGCAAGTATCTCTGATAAAGGCTTCATTTCATATAGAGAACCGAGCCCCAATTTATAAAAATACAAGCCATTCCCCAATCGATAGTTAAAGAATATGAACAGGTACCACCTCACTCCTATCAGTTGGCTAATATGCCAAAAAAAAGGAAAATGATAAATGTTGGAGAGGATGTGGGAAAAGTGGGATACAAATGCATTGTTGGTGGAGTTGTGAATTGAACCAAACATTCTGGAGAGCAATTTGGATCTACAGGACTATAGACAATAGTCTATATAAAGGACTATAAAACTGTGCATACCCTTTGACCCAGCAAGACTACTACTAGGTCCGTATCCCAAGGAGATCATAAAAAAAGGAAAAGGCCCTACATGTACAAAAATATTTGTAAGCAGCCCTTTTCATGGTAGCAAAATATTGGAAACTGAGAGGATGCCCATCAATTCAGGAACGGCTGAACAAGCTGTGGTATGTGAATGTAATGGAATACTCTTGTGCAATAAGAAATGATGAACAGGCAGATTTCAAAAAATTCTGGAAAGACTGGTACAAACTGATGCTGAGTAAAGTTTAATTATCTCTGCTGAGCAGAACCAGAAAACATTATATATAGTATCAGCAGTATTGTGTGACGATCAACTACGTGACTCAGCTTTTCTCAGCAACACAATGATCCAAGCCAAATACAAAGGACTCAGGAAGGAAAATGCTATCTATATCCAGTTAAAGAACTGATAGACTCTGAATGCAGATTGAAGCATATTTTTCTCACTTACTTTATTCTTTTTCATGTTTTTTTCCCTTTTGATCTTTTTTTTTGTACAATTGAGACTAATATACAAATATGTTTTACATGATAGCACATGTATAATCTATATCAAATTGCCCACCATTTTAGGAAAAGGGGAGGGGACTGAGGGAGGGAGGGAGAAAAATCTGGAACTCAAAATATTGTAAAAATGAATGCTAAAAATTTTCTTGACATATAACTGAGGGAAAAAAAATAAAATACTACTTAAAAAATACAAATAGCAGATCTGATAGTGTAATTAAAAAGTCACCATTCCTTCAATCTGAAGTAGTTTATTAGTTTGAGATACCATATATGCACTGAATGTTGAGTCAAAACAAGAAAATAACAAAGGCAAAAAACTTAGAAAGCATTGTTTTCAGCACAAAAGAATATGAATTTGGCAGAGGATCTTACCTGGAACTAGGCCTTGCTTTTATTCCATCTTTACCTGTCCTTTTGCTTCTACTTTGCTTTCTGGCCTCTGAATGCTTTTCACTTGGCTGTCTTCTTTTTTCATCCTGTTTCTGCCGACCTGACACATCCCCTTCGATGCGCGACCCATCATCACTTTCCACTTGTGAACCTGAGTTCTGCGCCAGGCACTTGGAGGAATGAGTGTGTTTAGATTCTGGCTGGTCACAGTCTCTTTCCGTAGGGACAGATTCAGTTTTTAGTGTCTCTGGAGTGGATGCTGAATTAGCTGACTTATCTGTGTGGTCCTTTTCTTTAGACTTGACTAGACTATAAGAGGCATTTTTTATAACTTTTCCTGGAGCACATTTACTCTTTAATCTTTCTATATTATCCTCCCTGTTGTCCTCACAGCTACCACAACACACGCACGAGTTAATGAGACAATTGGTGGCGGCAATGCCGAGCTGATGGGATTCATTTTCCTCTTCGTCGCCTCTCGAGTTGGGTACAGGAACACAATCACTCGGTACCTCTGGTGTAGTTACAGGTGAATCAGAAGAAGTAGGAGATTTAGGATTAAATATGACAGTAGCAGATATCTTCATTCCACCAGTCCGATGGGCTATTATTTCTGCTGTTTCTGCATCCTCAGCACTCACATCCCAGCCATTGAGGTATAACTGTGTATCTAAACAACTGCAAGAATTCTGGATGGAGAGTCCAATTTTCTGCATTTCACTCTCTTCAATATTATTATTATTGCTCAAATCGCTTTCCATTTCTTTTGTGAGCAAACCATTTCCTGCTTCCTTACTCTCTGAATTCTGAGTGTCCCTTTCCTTTGGGAGATCCTGACAAGTGCTGTTGACCCAAACCAAAGTTTCACTAGCTGACTCTGGCCTAGCAAGAGATTCTCCTGTTCCATCAAGGTCATCCATAAAAAAGACTCTGTCCTCGTCATCATTTAAATGCTCAAGATTTGACCTTCTTGGTGAGGCCTCTGTGCTCGAGTTGTTTCGTAGGCCAGCTCTATGTGCTGGAGACTGGCACACGCTGGGTGGAGAAAGGAGAGACGACATTTCATCTCCTACCCTGTGAACCATCTGATTCAGCTGTTCCAGCTCCTGCTCATCATATTGCATTGAGCAGGCTAATTCGGCCTCTGTATTTTCTGCTGTGACAGAAAGCTGCTCAGGAGGGAAAGTCGCAGCTAAAGTGGGTGCAATGACAGAGGGCACTTCAGGATCTGTTCTGACAGAGAACTCCATATCTTGGGATATGCAAAGGTTCCGTTCAAGTGTGTGTAGTTCTTCTTCAGTCAATGTTTGCAGTAAATCTCTGCAAATTGCAAAAGGGAAATTAAGAATTAAATTTCTAGAAAAAATTCCTCTCATTTTTGCTAAAAAACACATTTAACAACAAATTTCTACAACTAGTAGAAAATCAGGAAAATTTTAAAAATCCATGCATAGTATTAAAATTTTCCCCAAAATACATATTATATATATATATATAATATAAATATATATTTTCCCCAAAAATGTATATATTTTTCTTAAACATTTTATCTCATTTGATTTAATTTGGACATATTTCACATGAAAATCAAATGACCCCTTGGAAAGACTTTTCTCAAATTAAAGGGCAATTCCTTTTACTTAAAAACAGTTCTAAAATTCAGCTTGGAGAGTTGCTATTTAAATCACTTCCCTTTCTTTTTGAAGGCAACTAATCACTTCTGCATTTATTCTGTAACAAAATATTCTATTTGAAATAATATACAAGATTCCAATTAAATGTGATATATAAGCAATACTGTTTAAAGAACTAAAATGAGAAATGCAATCATTTCAAGGTCTTGGGGAAGAGTACATTAAAATATTTTATTTAACTCATTTTCCCAAACCACAATTACTCTGCAGTGATCTGAATTTTGAATGCTGAAACTAGGCAACTTGAGTAAATTCTGAAGTGTAACAAGTGCATATTATATCGTGAAGATCTATTACTTGGCAGTACTGCAATGATTTGGAGAAACATTAGCTTGACAAGCAGATGATTGATCAACTTAGCAATTTCTTTTGTACCCTACTCCTTATTTTATCTCTCATTTTCTCTCTCCTATTGACCAGGAATTATCTTCTGAACATTATTCCTTCAGGAAGGTAAAAGAATGGCAATGACAGTCAAGGTTTTCATCAGTTACTGTGTATTTTAGGTTTTATGGTTCTCTAAACCAGAAGTGTCAAAACATGCGGCCAGAGAGCATTATATGGCCCAGAACAGTCCCAGGTATACCCAAACCAGATTGAAATATAATTGCGAAATACTTAACTAAAATTTAAAAATATGATAAAACATAGATAATGTTAATATCTCTAAGTCAATATATGGCTTACAGGGATTGTTATATATGCTTTTGTGGCCCTTGTTTTTTATTTGAATTTGACATCACTGGGCTAAACCACTTGATTATAATATTTGGTAATCAACTAATTTTTTGTTAGATAGTACCAGTAACAATGTATACAATGGAACTCTGGGGTGGAGCTGGAGAGAACTAAAAGTTGATAACTGATTAATCAATAAGTATGATATAGCTTAACAGAGAGTTGCCTGTCTTATTGGGGTTTCTCAAAAGGTCTGGCTCCCCTGCATGAGTTACTGAAAAGTGGTAACTGTGGTTATATAGAATTGTGTAAATGAAGTTAACTAAAATTGATTTTATACTGATGAGTCAACAGTAATTGTAATATCAAGTTAAAATTATTTTTATGTTAAGCAGAAATGATATTGGAATGTAAAATTATGAATGATCAGTTGAAAGATCTATAAAGGTACTAGATGTATTTATATGATGACATGTCACAGATCAATAAGGTAAGCCAAAGAAAAACACAACATAAAAACAACTTGGACAATGAGGGTCATTTATATGCTGTTAGACCAGAGGAATAGGGCTTCTGGAGCCACTCCATCAAAATTATAAGGGCCCTGTGTCTCTATGACTGTTAAGGCTGGTTCCCATGCATGAATCCCCAAATATAGCAACTATGGATTTTGTACTAACATACAAATATGTAAGTGTAAATGGGCAAATTAATTATAATGGTAATATACAATCTTTATATATTGTATACAGTGTATACAGTGTAATAATTATAAATATAATCTTTGAACATCAGAACCTACACACATTAGTGGCACAGTTCATTGCACAGAGGCGTGAAGTAAGGCAGTACATTGGGAGAAGTTGAAGAAAAATATGCAAAAAAGCAATAGAAAGCTGTTTCTATCTGGCTAACTTACGGCTAAATACTCTCAAGAGGGGGCCTGTACCAAGGTGATTCAATTCAAGTCAACGTTTACTGAGTACCTACTATATAAAACCCAGGACCTTGTACTAAGTGGTAGAACTATATAAGGAAGGAATCAAAGTTCTGGTTTATAATCTGGCATGTAAATATGTAAAGAATTATATGACAAATTAGGTAATATGTGTAAAGGAGAGGTCCACACAAAGTGTTAAAAGAAACTGTAAGAATGAAAGATCACTTCTAGCTAGGGAAGGCTTCATGGGAGAAATGAGACTTGGATTCGGACTTGAAGGAAAAAAATTATTTCAGGAAGATCTATGTGGGCATTTTGTTACTGTTATTCAATTGTTTTAGTTGTGTCCAACTCTCTGTGATCCCATTTTGGGTTTTCTTGGCAAAGACACTGGAGTGGTTTGCCATTTCCTTCTCCAGGTCTTTTTTTTTTTTTAAACAAACAAGGCAAACAAGGTTAAGTGACTTACCCAGGGTCACACAGTAAGTATCTGAGGCTGGATTTGAACTTAGGAAGATGAGTCTTCCTGAGTTCAGGTCTGGTGCTCTATCCACTTCACCTAGCTGCCCCTGTGTGGGCATAGGGATAGAGTAAAAGGGGTCCGTATTGGGCACAAGTTGAGCAAAGCATGTTGAGGGGAGAAGGCAAGGTGAGAATGAGTAGCAATGTATAGACTAGTTTGGTTTGACCTAAGGTGATGGAAGTGGGAGTGGACAAATTGACAGGACTCAGCCAGTAAGTAGGCAGGCTCCATAAAAGGTAAGTCTTGGATAGCCGACTAGTACCTCTTTCTTTTAAAAAGGAAAGGGCCAAGTTGATACAATTCTGAAACCCCTCTGGGAGTGGAAATAGCTTGGGTTTTACCTTACTAAATGGTAGCCCTAGGGCAGCACTCAATTGTTACAAATGTTTCACATGTATGACTGTTGCCTCCAAAACTTGTTTCTTACGAGTAGAATCCACGTACAATTCCATTTTTGTATCCTCCATTGTACCTAACAGACAGCTAGGAATACACCAGGAACTCAATATATATCTGTTGATTACATTAGTTCTAGTTAGTGAGTGCTCCAGAACAAAGCCATTTTGACCCTGGAGATGACATAGCAGCCTTATGAATGAAGGCTATAATACTGCCAATCAAAGGCTCAAAGATTTAAGCCGAGAATGAACATCAGAGAACGTCTAATCCAATGTTCCCATTTTACAGATAAGGAAACTGAGGTCCAAATAAGTACAGTGGCCCATCCAAAGTCACAAAGTCAGTAAACAACAGAGGGGAAATATGAACCCAGGGAAATATGAACCCAGGGAAATCTGACCACAAATTCAATACCTTTTCCTCTACACCACATTGCCTATCTGCTGCTACCCAATGGCATTTCATGAATTGGCAATATAATATTTTAAAGGATGACTAAACACACTTTATCTCTTACAATGAAGCATTTGGTTTCCTAGAAATTAACTCATTCCTTTTTAATTCTTCAAAGATAGAGTTTAGTTGTAAATTAAAGAATGACCCCAAAGTAAATGGCATACACTGGCAGCATATTGACTGTTAGTAATGTAAATTACTCATATTTGATAAAATTAATTATTTTTAATTTTTACAATTACTCACACTTAATAAAAACATAAGACATCTAGTCCTTTCCTGCTTAACAACTTCTATGTTACTGAAATCTCCATACAGAATAAATTATTTTTATAGATTGCACTTTACATCTGATTAAGTCCTTCACTCCCCCCCACATGCTTCTTTTCACGTCTGTTCATTCAGACATTAATTTCCTAAAATGGGTGCAATCTGTCTAACGTTATTCTTACATTATATTCAGAATTGTCACCAAAGCGATTACTAAAATTTCTAAAATGCTGTAAGTCTTCTGACAATCTGATTATAGAGATAATAAAAGATAAATGAATATAAATAATCCATTTCTAGATTTCAAAGGCCATTTAATGAAAGAATTCTCACCATTTTCCACATGCATAATACTGCTTAAGCTGTGGTGGTGAAGATTAGTTAATAGTCTTGCATTCCTTTATTAGTGAATTTAGAGCTAATGTTGTTTAGTATAGGACACTAATTATAATCTTTAAAGGGAGAGATACAGAGTCTGTAAGAATAATTATACTATGACTGCAAGGGAGAAGACTACTCTAGAAACTATCATATGTATATAAAATCACATGTATGTAAAAAATTAAATTTATTCATAAAATTTAGCATTGGCTCATGATTAAAATGGTCTTATGGAAGCTCTGAATAGTTTTAGCCATGTGCACAAAATATTTCTTTAATGCTTTGAAGAATCAGACCAGAGTGAACATTTTCTTCATTGATATAGATTGCACTTTCTCATCCTGTGGTATTCTTGTTCATGTCTTCCCAAAAATCCTCTAGGGAGGATTCATATGACACATTAGAGGTCTTTGTTTAGTTCTTATAATATTCTACAGGTACCATTGTAAGACTTGGGTCAGCCATTTCTTATCCTTCATTCTTGTTACCTAACCAGCTCTCCTTCCTTCTTGTTATTTAAGTCTTTCATGCATTTCTTACACAAATAACAACTGGGCAATATGCTGCACCTACTATATATATATACATATATATAATATATATTATATATAATATAAATTATATGTAATATATATTCTATATACAGAATATATATTATATATATTATATATACACATATATGGTATATATAAAAATATATAATATATATAAAATATACACATATAATATATAAACATATTAAATATATGAGTATAATGTATAAAATATAAAAGATATATAAATATATAAAACATAAAAGATATATATATATATATACATATATATACATATATATATATATATATGTAAATTTGCCTGGACCTTTGGGTTGCTAAAATTGTGATGCATCTGAGAGTATTCTATGGTTCTAAGTCACAGAGAACGGATACTCTAGGCATTTAAAATATGGACTTTTGCAGGATCTGTTGAATATTTTCCA